TTAATGCATAGATTAAGTATACAAATGTTTTAAACTTTGACAACTATTTGATACTCTGTTATGTAAATTCAAATCAATGTATAAAATATTTTCATGATTATGCATCAATTTGATTTAATGAAGTATCAAATAATTTTCAAACTATTAAAAAATTAACAAACTTGATCTATATATTAAGAATTTTTAATTTAACAGTTAGATGTAGAATATGAGTTATTGAATAAAGTATCTTGATACTATGTTTAATTAATTATAATTGACAGATAATCATAAAAGTATTTTATACATTGATTTGAATCAATGAAAAAAGTATCAAATAATTTTCAAATTTTTTAAGACTTTACAAGCTTAATCTATGTATTATAAAATTTTAATTTAATGATTAGATTGCTAAAATTTAATGTAGAAGATAAATTATTAAGTGGAGTAAGTGAATTATGCTTTAACTATGACATTGGATCTATATGTAACTTTATAATATAATATTATCTTAAAATATAATATGTATACGTCAATTGGAAATAGGTATCAATGAAAAAATAATATTTAACCCGAACCCACCCATAGGTAACCATTTGAACTTGATTTTTTTAAGATTATTTCACCCGTCACCCGATCTAGTCGTTATTGATCATTATTTTGGCTTTTGATTTTCTTGAGATGATCACCCCTGAATTTTATGAAAACACATTATTCTCCAATATAGGGATGCTTATGGCCCGATCTGTCTCACTAATCCAGTCCAACCCAAAAAGATTTTTCAATAGATTCATAATTAACAAATTGGACTCGGCATATTTTAAGTTTCCTTCAAGTTGTCCCAACTTGATCCAATATCCTATATTTAATAAAAAAAAATTTATAATTATATATTAATATAACTTGTTGCATTAACCCCAAGCGTGTGGTTCAGCGGTAGGGGTTGATCCACGCTTAAGCAAGATCAGGGGTTCGAATCCTGCCTTGTGTATGCAACCGCGTTAAATCTTGGGGCCAGCTATACTACCCTTTGAGGTGCCTCCGATGTAGTGAGGAGATTAATCACTGTTATCGACGGTGGATACTCCAGGGACGTACCAAAAAAATATAACTTGTTGCATTGAATAAGTAATATCTTATTTAATATAATTATAACATTGTCATCTCGTAATCTTGTTGTTTGATTTGACAATTGCTATTGAGAGCTCTGGAATTGAGAGACCCTAAGTGCACGTTGATCTCTGGAGAGTTGGACCAAAGATAAGTGGAACTGACTTAAGAAAGGTATAAAAGGAAGATTTTTCAAAAGAAAGCTATAATTCATGTTTTAAAAAACTCTAGAGAGAAATTAAAGAGAGAATTCCCCCTTCTTTCTTTCTTTCTTCTTCATTTTCAATTGAACCTTCCTCTCCTATCATTTTCTCAATCGACTCTAGTTAGAATAAATGAAGATCCAAGTTCCCGAGGTTGGAACTTTAGCGATCGGAGCACTGGGTCATCTTCTTTTCTTCTCCTATTGAGAATTGATTCTCCGAGAGTAAAGGGAAACTGTGTTTTCGAATTCAGAAGTGCATTATGTGGTTGTGATGATTTGAATGAATTAATTTAAAGTGTTGAGAGATTGAATGATGAAGTTAAAAGGGTTTTGTGGGTTGTTGTTCAAAGGTTCATGCTTGATTCTTGATTGATTTCAATAGCATGTTGTTTTTGATGGTGAAATCATATCGTATATGTCATATATATTGAATTTATTGTGTTGCATGTTCAAAATTTCTAATTTTCAACAGGTTTGGTAAAAATCAAGTTCTACACAAGTGCAAAATTTGATATTGCATTCAGTGCACCTTTAAGGCGCCAAATGTGGTTCCAAAGAGAGGCCTCTGTCTTGTTCACGTTGGGCACATGATTAGTGGCACTGGGCGGGAGGAGAAAGATTTGTCTCGGGTTGGAATTATGTCGAACATAAGTTGAATGACATTAGATGTGAGGAGAGAGACTCGTCATTACTTGGGTTCACGCTTAGTTGCTAAAGTGTGTGGCATCAAATGTGACTCAAGCAAGGTGCTTTTTACCTAATAGGGACCAAGTATGAGCGTTGCCATGCTAGGCATGAGACTATGGGGGCATTCTCTACCTCAATCATGCTAGACGTGGATGGTGTGATGCTAGACGTAGGTGAGACAAGGATCTCCCTGCTTCAATGACATTGGATGCCCAATGTGGCATCAACGCGAGTTGTATGATAAGAAGTTGTTATCTAATGTTGTTTTACAGTTGATTGAGGGTAAATGAGTTGAATAATGTAAAGTTGATTGTTTAAGTTGTTTAGCAACTGATTTATGTTGATGTAGTAAGTTGAACATGTTGTGAAGTTGTGAATTGTTTTATGTTGTCTTAAGTTGATTTTTGATGGTGTTTATTTAAAGTTTTAAATGTTACAAAAATATGTTGTTTACGTTGTTTAAGTAATATGTTGTAGAGTTAAAAGTTGAATGTTGTGTAAGTTGTATGTTGTTAAAGTTGACAAGTTGAATGTTAAAAGTTGATAAAGCTATTAAATTGATAAGTTATAAATGTGTGGGCTAGATACACATCTTAGCTATGATACATAAAAACTATAAAAGAGTTAAAGATGTTTTCAAACTTAATATCTTATTGTGCGAATATACATCATGGTGCTCTGAGAGCCCGATTAAAACACTTCAATAGGTAAATTGGCCTCTAAACAGATAAATTATTTTTAGTTGTCTCCTCTAGATTTTATGTGGTATCTATATGTAAACAAGGTTGAGACACATCTATATAAATGACCAACCGAGTAAATTACTGGATCGGGAACTTAGTTTCTAACCTAGTATCAAAAAGTTGTGATATTTGGAGAATAGTTGATGGGCTCATACTCAAACTGTTCTATCGTGACATAGTATCATACTTCCTTGTTTAAGTAGTGGAACCTAAGATCTAGCATATGTTAATCATTGCTTCTAGCCTTATGCTAGCTGCTATTTTTGGCCTTAATGCAGTCGTCATTTTTGGTATTATATCAGGTGTTGTAATTCGGTAGAGTCAAATCACTTAAACTATTCATCATAAAATGAAGATCTCTATAATTGATATATAACAACATATTAGATGATGTATATGTACATATGGTGATGTGATGAACATGCTGTGATATGTTAAGTTGCTATAATGATAATGATATCTTGTTGTAAGTTGAAATATTTTAATATGATGATGTTTTTTGAATTATCTTGACATTTGGTGTTTGGCTGAAATGCCAAATTCCGCTTCGGGGATTGTTATTGATTTTTTTTTTATTTTCCCTTTTTACAGGAGTGCCTCTGAGTAGGCGAATGGGAGTTGAGGATCTTATGTATCCCAGCGCAGTATTTAGAAAGCCTCTTCAGGCTTAGCTTCACCCGTCGCTTGAGTTGGAAAGCTATCTTCCACTGAGGAAGTCTGAGTCCTTTGACTCGGATATTTCGTTTGATCATGCTTCCGTTGGGGGATTTTGCTGATCTTGTTTTGATAGCTCTTACTGGGGATTTAGTCCAAGAGTGTGAGCTGAGAAGTCTCTAGGGAGTATTATTTCGGCAAGCCTCTCCAGGCTCAGTTATTCTGTACGATTTGTTGGGTTTTCTGAATTTTGCCTTTTTGTTGATTTTTGGCTTTTTTCTGTATTTTTTGCCTTTTTTGTTGATTTTGGCTTTTTCTGTTTTTTCTGTACAGAAATGTCTCTGGGGAGTATTATTTCGGCAAGCCTCTCCAGGCTCAGTTATTCTGTACAATTGTTGGATTTTTGAATTTTGCCTTTTTTTGTCGATTTTTCGGCTTTTTCTTATTGGCTGCTGTCATACACAAGAAATTTTTCTATTTTTCTATTTTATGCGACTGCCTCATGATAAGGTCTTTTGAATGTGCAACCAATGTGTGTGTGATGCACAAAATGCAAGTTTAATCATTTTTATTTTTTATTTATTTTTTTTATTTTTTAGAATAAACAGAGGATAAGTGATCTTCCAGTACACATATCATCTGTATGCATGTATGTGGTATGATGCACCTAATTCTATTTGATTTATTTTTTCAAAAGAATTAACCGATGCGTTTCTTTGCTTGGATTTTTGCCATTCCTCTAGACGGGCTGTGCGCTGCCGATTTCTGTAACCGAGGAATGATGCGTGTTATATCGGGATTGGTGTCATCAACCCAGTGATCCTTCCCTTCCTTTAGAAGATGTGTCAACCTTCCTATATAAACCATTATGTTGAATTCTTTTCATAAACTCTCTGTTTTTTTTTTTGTAGTTGAAATTGCAATAATCATATGATATGAGAACATGATAAGATTAACAAAATAACTCGTATAATAGGAGACTAGTCACGCTAGAGATAACTTAATTTTTGGTTGATGACTACTTTGATATAATCTTGTATTATATAGATATCCACCAACATTTAAATTTATTTTACAATTGATATTATATTATGTATATAGTACGTGTATATTTGATATCAATCACTAGTTGTATTATAAACTCTAATTTTGATGAATATTGTTTAGTCTTTCATTACAGTAACTTTTCAATAACTTATCGTTACTATAATATTATATTAGTATCAATATTATTTATCTTAGAATACATATTGTAAAATAAATCTTAATATTGTTAAAAGTTTTTAAAATTTTATAGTCTAATTATATGTTATGTTAGAATTAATATATTATGTTAACAAATCAAATTAACATGATCATGTCCACGTATTTGTCGGATCTTGATTGGACTGAATTTAAGTTCACAAAATTGACCCTAAAACTTTTGAATTAAACATGGACACAAGCAAAATTGTCTCAACACAAACACCATCCAATATCTAAAAAAATGAACATGATCAAACAAAACAATTACCACCATAGTTATTTTTTTCATCTGTAGGAATCTAATAGGTTAATTTAGTCACGCGGTAAACTTACAGTCACTGAAACAAACTTTAACTAGTGGCCGAAGGAAGATTTAATGATTCAAAGAAAATATAAATACTAAAATTGCAGCTGAAGGTGAACTTTTTTGATATTGTATATCGCCATGGGAATAATCTATTAGGCAGTCACACACACTATTGTACAGAAACTAATACAGTTGCCCAAAATATGGACCAGCATCTAGTTCAGCCATACTTAATGATCTAAAACAATGTAGCAGACCCGAAGAGACATGTTCCCCATGGTTCTGCGTAGAATTCAAGCTTCTACAAATGTCCAATTCAAAGGTTTGGTTCTGTTGGCAATGTAGGTGCTGCTCTTTGTGCATGTATATATATAATATATAAACACATATTATATACATATACATAAATACCTGATCAATGCACAACTCCATGCTGACTAGCTATGAATGTTTCCTCTCCCACTTCCCTTCACGTCTGCTGTCTCTGTCTCTACGTTCGCCAACTTGCCTTGCCTTGCCTCCTCTTGAACTGTGCCTTTGAGAACCATATCCACCAGGCTGTCCATCAAATGCTGATACTAGCTCTGGATCTCCAATGCTGCTGGTGTCCCCTGAATCTTTGCTTCCATCGACGTTTTCTTCGTACATGCTGCTGGTGTCATCCTGCCGGTCACGTGACTGTAAGATAGTAGGCAGCTGTCCAGAGAACGCCCGAGATCCGGAAAGGACTATAGTTGGTGATGAACTGGTGGAAGGATTTTCAGGCTGTAAGCTTCCACTACCAGCTCTGGTGCTCCCTTCACTACCAGATCTTCCATTTTCTCTTTCGCGGAATCTATCCCTAGGTCGACTGCAAGAAGAGAAACCCACCAAATCATATCAAACAATTTATCATTCAATTATGGAAAGATACCAACAGGAGATTTGGTAAAGCCAAAAACCCTATGCTCCCGGAGCAAGAAAAGGAAAAGCAAAAACAGTTATATTTTAAAGAATAAAACAAAATAAGAACTAAAATAAAAAAGAAAAATTTTAAAAGGATCATTTTACAGGGGAAAAAAAAAAGTGATTTCGAAAGGACCGAAACCAAAAAACATAATAAGAAAAAACATATTTAAGCCATTTAAAAAGTATCAGAGTTTCTTATAATTAGTTATTATCAGAATAAAATCATTCTTTTTATTTTATTCAAATGATTGGTCTAGTACATAAATAGGTAAAACAGGGAGATAAAAAAAGAAACAAATAATAGGCAATTCCTATAATTAAATAGGAATCCCTATAAATCAGTATCATCAATAAAGAATAAATTGTAGACCCTAATCCTTGAAATTTTGCAACATAATAATATCCCATAAATTTGGGAATTCCTATCCAACACTCCCCCTCAAACTGGTGAATAGATGCTAATCATTCCCAGCTTGCTAACATTAGACTCAAAATCTGACTTCAACAAAGCCTTTGTCAACAGATCTACTTGTAATTTGGTTGGAACATAATGTAGAGAAAATGTACCATTTTTCATTTCTGACTTGATGAAGTTTCAGTCAATTCTTACATGTTTCATCCTGTCATGTTGCAATGGGTTATGTACTATGTTGATGGCTGACTTGCTATCACTATATAGTTTCACAGGCTCTTGAAGGGGAATAAATAAATCATGCACTAATCTTTTTATCCAAATCAATTCAAAAACTCCTTGAGCAATTGCTCTATATTTACCTCTGCACTGCTTCTTGCAACAACTAATTATTTTTTACTTATCCATGTCACCAATTTCCCCCATACTTTTGTACAGTATCTTGTGGTAGACTTTGAATCTTCAACTAAACCTGCCCTATCAGCATCTGCAAAACACTCCACTTCTGTGTTCATTTTTTCTAAACAGTAATCCCTTTCCAGGAGTACTTTTGAGATAACGAAGAATCTGATTTACAACATCTAGATGTCTCTTCTTAGGAGAATGCATAAATTGACTAACCACACTAACACTGTAAGCAATATCTGGTCTAGTGAGAGATAGGTAGATTAGTTTTCCTACAAGGCATTGATATCTCTCCTTCTCAACTAGAGGATCATCTTCAATAATCTTGCGCTTCCAATTTCGGTCTAGGGGAGTTGTTGCAGGTCTACACCCTAATTTCCCTACTTCTCGAAACAAATCAAGAGTGTACTTCCTTGTGAGATGAAAATACCTTTCTTGCTTCTAGCTATTTCCATCCCAAGAAAGTATTGAAGCTGTCCAAGATCTTTAACCTTGAATTCTGCTTGCAAACAACTTTTGAGATTGTCAATTTCTTGATCGTCATCACCTGTGATTACCATGTCATCTACATAGACAATAAGAATAGCCCTTCTTTCATCTTTGAATTTTATTACAAAAAGGGTGTGGTCTACTTGGCACTGAACATAGCCAAGTTGTTTCATAGTGGTGCTGAATCTTGTGAACCAGGCCCTTGGGGACTGTTTCAGTCCATATAGGGACTTATATAACCTGCACACAATATTATTCTTTTCTCCATCAAATCCAGGGGGCAGTTTCATATAAACTTCCTCCTCCAACTTCCCATTCAAGAAAATATTCTTCACATCTAATTAATGTAGTTTCCAATCCAAATTTGCAAGAGAAATGAGAATTCTAATAGAATTCTATACCATGGGTTTGGATATAGCCTTGGGCCACTAGCCTCACCTTATATCTGTCTATCTTCCCATTTGCACCAATTTTTGTGGTAAATATACATAGGCAGCCCACAACTTTCTTATCCTTGGGAAGCTTGACAATATCCCAGGTCTTATTTTCTTCTAGTGCAGCCATTTCCTCTAGGACAACAGCTCTCCGTTTTTCGTCTTTTAGAGCATCAAAGACAGTGTTTGGGATCTGAACTCTATTCAATTTTGTAACAAAAGCTCTATATCTCGGAGATAGGTTAAAATATGTGAGGAAAATTGATACAGAATGCTTTGTACAAGATCTAACTCCTTTCCTTGAGGAAATAGGCAAGTCAAATTCATCTATAATATCATTTTCAACATTAAGATTTTCAACTACACAATTACCTTCAGTGTTACAGTCTACTGCTTCCACATGATTTGACTCCAGGTCTGAAGATTGACCTTGCAAAGGAACACTATGTCTCCCAGTGTAGAATTTTGAAAAAAATTTGAACTCATTTTGAGTCCTCTTTTCTAATACTCCCCCCTTGACTAGTTATTTGTGTTGATTCTGTTTCGAATTCTTTTTGTATAGGTTTAGGTAAAGGAAGAGAAATTGGGAAGAGAGATGAAAAGATCTCAATGATGAGGTTCAATCATATTCTCCCACTGAAATGAATCATTGTGAAAAAAAGATTGATTTTCAAGAAAAGTGGTATCTAGGGATGGCAATGGGGCCCCATGAGGGCGGGTAATAGTAAATTCATCCCCGCCCTGCTGGATGAAAATTGGTCTCATACTCGCTTCATATCCATGCGGGTATCCATTAAGCGGATATCTATGAATTTCTTGAATACCCACGGATATCCATGGTTATCCATGGATCAAGGTTATCGATAACGCATAACGGTCTATGACGGTGAGGCCGAAAATCCTTTATAACTCTATGGCAGATGCTATGGCGGCCTACGGCAGACACCATGGCGGACAAAAAATAAATAAATAAATAATATATATATATATAAAGAAAACAACAAAATAAATAACAAGCAACAAAACTAAATTAAAAGCAACATAATATCAACTTAAATACTTAAATATCATAACAATACCATAATTCATTAAGAAAGGACTCAAAAGAGTAGGAAAAACTAAAAGAAGGATTAAAACTGAAGAGAAAAAAAAAGGAGAATTAAAACTGAAAAAATAAAAGGAGGAAGATTAAAACTGAAAAGAAAAAAAAAAAAAGGATTAAAACTGGAAAAAAAATGGAGAATTAAAACTGAAAAAATAAAAGGAGGAGGAGGAGGATTAAAATTGAAAAAAAAAAAAAAGGACTAAAATTGAAAAAAAAAATGAAATTTTATGTTTATCTATGTCGTCGGAGTAGCTCGCCGGAGCGCTGGGCTACCACGGTTCAGGTCGCCGACTAGAAAGGGGACCAAGGGACGGTGAAGGACGGTGGATAGGGGCAGTTTCGACTTCCGTAAGTGTTGTACACACGTCGTGGACCCGTGGTTGCTCGCCAGAGTGTTAGGCCACCGCGGTTCAGATGGTCGGTCAAAAAGGTGACCGGACAGCAGCGATCGGAGTTGAACGAAGGTGACCGGACAGCAGCGATCGGAGTTGAACGAAGGTGACCAGAGAGGTTTAAAACCTAGGGCAGATTGTGCGACTGTGCGTGACCTCCTCTTCCAAGTGTAAAACTTCACGCGACTGAGGGAGAAGTGAGTCAGGCCAAAACAAAATTAGGGCTCATTCCATTTGCGCCTGTTTCAAAGCCCAAAAATAGGTTTTTTCAAAAAAAAAAAAAAACCCTTCATGACCGCCATAAAGCTTCACGGCACCATGACCATGGTGGGCGCCATATCGGAAATGGCGGACACCGCCATAAACCTTCATAAAACGGATGGCAAATGGCGGTTTGGACTTGAACCGCTACGTTTTTCTGTTATAACGTCGTTATAGCGGATATTTGACAACATTGCCATGGATATTTATAAAATTTTTAAGAAATTAAAAAAATTATTACAAATAATTTTATGTTTATATTTAATGTCATTGAAATATTAAAAATAAAAATTCAATGTTAATTTTGAACTTGTATTTAACGTTAATTTTGTTGAAATAATAATAAAAATACAAGATAATCAATAATTTAAAATACATCAATCTCACAAGTAAGTGAAAGTCTCATATCACAAAGATGAGAGTGTAGCTTTAGGGTTATGTGGTACAAGGATAATTAGGATATTTAAGAAGTATTATTAAACGGGTACCCGCGGGTATGGATATCATCATACCCGCCCCCGGGTACCCAATTAACCTATCCATTTATTATCCGTAGCGAATTTTACCTGCAAATACCCGCGGGTGCAGGTATTTTTGCCATCCCTAGTGGTATCACATGATATGTAGAACCTTTTGGATTTTGGGCAATAACATTTGTACCCTTTGTGTGTGGGATAATAGCCAAGGAATAGGTATTTATGAGATTTTGGATCTAGTTTTCCTCTTGTAGGACTTGAGTTATGAACAAAGACTAAACATTCGAATATTTTTTGTTGAATAAACTCCAATATTCTAACTAAAGGTAAAAAGCCTTTTAGACAGTTAAGAGGGGTTAAAAATTGGAGAGGTTTAGAGCAAAGACGATTTATAAGATAGGTAGCAGTTAACACAGCTTCTCCCCAAAAATGGTTTGGAACATTTCTGGTGAACATAAGAGAACGAGCAAACTCCAAAATGTGCCGATTTTTTCTTTCAGCAACCCTGTTTTGTTGCGAGGTATGGTTGCAAGAACTTTGATGGAAAATGCCATGTTTCTCTAGGTAACCATTAAGATCATTAGAGAAGTATTCCCGCCCATTATCAATACAAAGGATGTGAATTGATGACCCAAAAATATTGGTAACAAGTTTATGAAACTGTTTAAAGGTTGTGCTAGCTTCAGATTTTTCTTTCAAGAGGTACACCCAACACACATGAGTATGGTAATCTATAAAGGTGATAAACCATCTGGCTCCATTTATGTTAGGAATTCGAGAAGGACCCTATATATCACTATGAATGAGGTGGAAGGGTTGTGATGGTTGATAGGGATGAGAGGGATAATTAGTTTGAGATTGTTTTGCAAGAATGCAATGTTCACACCTAAAAGAAGAAATATTTTTATTGATGAATAAATCTGGATACAAGTGTTTCAAATAATTGAAATTAGGAAGACCAAGGCAATTGTGCCATAGAAAAACATTTGAATCTAACACGGTTGACAGGGAGATGGTTTAAGGAGAATCCGACTTTAAGGGTAAAAAGTACAATGAGAAGGGTAGATCTTTAGTCAATTTACCGACACATATGAGATTGTATTTTAATTTAGAAACATAAAGGAAAAATTTTAGTTTTAGTCCTGACAAGTTTAAGTCACTAGTACCAGCTACCATTGATGAATTACCACCAGCTACTGTAATAGTGACACCTTTATCAACTTTCTTGTATGACGTAAAGTCAGCAAATGACCCCATCATATGGTTAGTAGCAATGGAATCTAGGATCCATTCTCCTGTATTTTCCTGTCTAGACAAGAAAGAAAACTAACCATTACCTTTGTGAGCAATGTTTGCTGTAGAGTGTGATGGTGCAAAAGCTTCAAGTTTGAGTTGAGAGAGTAGGTTCTTTAGCATATCCATTCACTCATCAGAAAAAATAATAGAACATTGCTTTTTTTTTAAATCTGCAAAAGATTCAACAACATTAACAGAGGCAGCAGCTTTGCGCTTACTTTTAGGTTTCCAATCTGCAGGTTTTCCATGAATGAGTCAGCATGTCTCCTTGATGTGGTAAGGATTTTGGAAATAATCACACCATGTCTTGGCCTCTTTAGGACAGATAGTCTTTAGACCATTTTTTCGAGATACAAGAGCTGAGTTTAGATGAGGATCCTCAATTGTAGGATTGTTTTGCAACATCACTTTCCTCCTACTTTCTTCACTTCTAACCATGGCAAAGGCTTCCTTGAGAGATGGTAGTGCTTTGAGGCCAAGGATCCATCCCCTAACTTCATCTAATTCTTTTGCAAGTCCTTGAAGGAAATCAAATACCCTCTCTTTTTTCCAATATTTGGTCACATAACAATTTATCCTCAAAACATTTCCATTAAATAGTATAGAACAAGTCCATTTCTTGCCATAATTTGACCATCATATTAAAATACTCAATTACAGATTTGTTACCTTGTCGAGTATTACGCAAAGCTGACCTTATTTCAAAGCATTGGGCAGAGCTTTGGAGGTCCGAGTACATCTCCTGAATAGTGGTCCATATTTCATGTGCAATTTTGCAGAAAAGGTAAGTTCTTCCAATTTTAAGTTCCATTGAGTTAATCAACCAAGCCATGACAATGGAATTCTCTGCATCTCAGTTATTGTAGGAAGGATCAGTCATTGGTAGAGTTTCAAAAGTCCCTATAAGAGCCCATTTTTCCTTTCCCTTTGATGACAAGAAGGACTGACTGGTACCATTATCGGAAGTTTAACCTATTTAATTTGTGTTGGGTTATTTGAATTGAGGGGTTTAGGTCAATAGGTTGGAAGGATGAAGCCATATGGACTGAGTTGTTTAGGTTTCTATTGGAAGGCGAAATATTTTCTAGTGTGGATGGTTGTGTGGGTGGCACATCAGCCATGAAACTGTATTGAGTTTTCATCCAAGATGAAGAAGAGTAGGCTCTTGATACCATATTATCAGAATCGGAAGAAATCATTGTTCTTATTTTATTAACATGATTGGTATAGTAAATACATAGGTAAAACAGGGAGATAAAAAAGGAAACAAATAATAGGAAATTCCTATAATTAAATAGGAATCCCTATAAATCAGTAACAACAATAAAGAATAAATTGTAGACCCTAACCTGAAATTCTGCAACATAATAATATCCCATAAATTTTGGGATTCCTATCCAACATTAGTGTTATGAACCAACTATCTAAAAAGCATTTAGGGCTAAAATTCAACTAGAAGATGGGGGCTGCAAGTATTTAATTCTTGACCGCTTGGACATTGAGGCTTTAATTCCATGATAAGAATCAACCCTCTCTAAAGTTTGAGCCTTTGAGGTATTAGGCAAAGGCTCATGAAGGGTTTTATATCAAAGAGTTAGGAGATATAAAACTAATTTCGAGCTATGAAACAACTTAAGTTTATGCTATGAGGCCAAGTACTCAGCAGTCTGATCGTTGTGACCACCATCATATGTTCACCATGTTTCCCCGACTTGCTTCCCCTTAAACCACGTCTTTGGGACTCAAATCTACTAGACTGGCCATCACTACAATGCTGCTGGTACCCCTGGAATCCTTGCTTCCATCAACATTTTCACCGTATGTGCTGCCACTGTCACCTGGTCAAGAACATGACAGTATGATAGTAGGCAGCTGGCCTGAAAATGGATGGGATCCAGAGAGAAATATTGTTGGTCAAGCTTCCATTGATGAACTGGTCAAAGTAATTCCAGACTTTAAGCTTCCACTACCAGCTCTATCGATGAAATATCCCTACGTAGTCTACTAGATGAGCAACCCACAAAAATCCCATGAAGCAAATACAAAACCCATGAAAAGAAGCACAAAACACATCTGTTCTTTCCAACAGAATAGAGAAAGAAATTTATTTATAACCAGAACATTCATTGCAAGGATAAAGTTTCGTAGAACACCTGTATATGGTAATTAATATAAAAACTTACCTACTGTGAGTGGAGGAAGGAAAATCACGCCGAGATGGTCGAAGTCCTGATTCTGCTTGCTCTATTTCACGTTGAAGTTCTCTCTGCATATAAAGGAAGAGGTATTATTTTAAAGCCCTGGAGCAGAAAAAGAAACAACTTTTTCCAAGCCTCTTCAACTAAAAAAAGAAGAAAATAAATAAATAATATATATATATATATATATATA